TATAAAAAAAAAAAAAAAAAAAAAAAAAAGGAGAGAGAGAAAGACAGGGCTGGGTCATGGGGATAGTGGGTTGATGGGTCATGGCCCATGGGAATGTGTAAGATGGAGGCACATAAATGGGAAAATGGGTGGCTGAAATTTGGAGTGAGTTTTTCTCAAATTGGTGCAAAATAATTTGGGTCTTTCTCTATTTTTTAAAAATAGTATTGAGGGGCTTATATCAAAGAGCCCATAAATTAAGATTAGTGGTGAAAGTCGGATGGATCGGATCGAAATCAGTTTTTTTGGAAAATTTCCAAAAAAATTTGGAAGTACAAAATCATTTCCAATTTCAATTCCAAAATTTTCGGAATCTAAAAATTCATTCAAATTCCAAAAGGCCCGCAAATTTCAGAATTCCGTAAAAAAATCGGAAATCACATAAGCTTTAAAATTTCAAAACTTTGCCAAATTTTTAAAATGTTCATAATTTTCAAAAATAAGAACATTCAAGTAGATAAAAGTAAAACTAATAACTACTAAATTTCAGCTCAAAAAAATAAATAAAAATAAACACAGCGTAATATTCAATAAAACTTCTAACAAAAAAATCATTATGTCAAAATCCTAAACAAAACTTATAGGTGTATTTTTCGGGAAAATAATATATATTACTTATAGGTATATTTTTCGGGAAAAAAACAGAATTTTTCAGAATTATTAAATCGAATCGGAAATCGGAAATTCCAAATATATTTTATATAATTCCAATTCCAGTCCAAAATAATCGGAAAAATTCGGAAATCATAATTTCGGAAGTCGGAATGAAAAAAGTTGTTCCAAAATCGGAACTTTTCAGATCGGAACTGGTGGAAATTGGAAATTCCGTTCCAACTTGCACCCCTAGTTGGGACCAACAAAATCTCATTAATTTAGCAAAATATTAATTTATCGATAAATTAATAATTATTAATTTATACATTAATTAATAACTTATTAGTCTATGAAATTACTTTTATTATTATTTTCAATAAATATGTTTTTTTTTTAAATTACGTGTATATTATTCATTGTACCATTAGTTCAATGCACTATAGAGCATGTTTCACGAACGAGGGCTCTTAAAGAAGCAATAGTACAGAACAATTTTATGTTGAGTTATGAGAAAACTATGCCGAAAGTTCTAACCATGTTAAGAAAAGTGAGGGACGAGATTGATGTAATATGAACTTCAACAAAAAACAAGCAACAATTGAATCATATTTTATTAAGCCTTCATAGATCTATAAATTATGTATTGTACCATATAATTTAAAAATTATTTTTATGCATTATTACTTGCACCATTGCACCAAAAAGGCGAAATCCTCAATGACCCGTTAAGGTAGCGGACCCGGACCTGGTGCCCACAAGGAACCAACCCTCATTTGGAGTTGAAATTCCCAGTTGAAATTCCCACACTGCGGCTGCCAGGATTCGATCCTAGGACTTTGCACCAACTTACCACCTCCGGAACCAGTTGAGCTACACCCATGCGGGCATTTTTATGCATTATTAATTTATATATTATATGGGGGTTATTAAAAATTTCAAATGTTTATTATCTTATAAATTTAGCGAATTATTAATTTAGCACGTTATATTTGTCCCTGAGCCGGAACCGGAATAATTATTATTTAAATGAAATTATTAATTTATCGGGTATTAATTTATGATGTTCTACTCTATATATATATATATATATATATATATATATATATATATATATATATATATATATATATATATATATATATATATATAACAAACAACCCAGGATAGCCAAAAGAGAGAGCGCCAAAAGGGAATAAACAACAACTAGGGTTTGGTTGACATGGCTTCTAGTGGGTCCACCGACCGCGTGCATGTTTCGGAACCAAAGGGATCGTATGTATAAACTACTATGTGTAGATGGCTGTGGCGAAGCTCGAATACGATCGAGATTTCGCCGGCTATAACGACCCCGCAGCAGCGCAGGGTTTCAAGGGTTACGTTCAATTTGCAATACAGCTTCAACACAACACCCGTATGTAATTTTTTTGCTTCAAATTTATTGAGCTGATAAGTGGTTATATCTTATTTTTAGAATTAATAATAAAAAATATGGGTAGAGGTACTTATTAAAAAAAAAATTATTTGCTCTCCAACAGCTTATTTTTTTTAAAATTTAAGATCTTTTTATAAAAAAATACCACACCTTGGAAGAGCTTATAAGCTCTTAAACATCTTATAAGCTCTTTTTGACATCTTATAAGCTTAGCCAAACACCCTCTTAATTTAAGGATAACTTGCTTATTTTGTGCGTGTTTTTGTGTGTGCGCAGTCGACCGAATACGAGTTGGTGGAAGTGTTGAGACTTGAGAGTATTCAAAGGTCTACCAGTCAGTTACATTTACTCATTGTATTTCATCTTTACCGCCAAGACCGACGTCGATGGTGTTTCCGCTCCCAAAACTTTTAAAGCAGTTATCGGATTTTCGATGCATCAAGTTCTCGTGTTATTCGTCGACATTGTAGATGCATCCGCGATTTCACCTCTTGCTAATTAGCTGCCTGCTTAGGTATTTTTTTTTTTCTCTTCCAATTTAGTATTTACTGTATTTTTAATTGTTTTCTTAACGTTCTCCAACTTTTTTCCTCACATTTTCGAAATATGGTACATACGAAAATTGAGTTATAGGCTACGAATTCTTCTTTCGTGTCTGATTGATGATAATGCTATGTTAATAGTATCTACAGCTGGTCGTGGCAAGTTATAACAAGAATTGATGCCCCCATGGTCGTAAATAAGGTTAAATGCTAATTAAATTATAACACGAAAAGACGGAAACCTTAAAATGCGGTTTTTGTTTGTGGCGGGGTTTTATGTTAACAGTTAGTTTGAGAATGTTGATATCATTAGGCATGAGTAGCGGTACTAATCGGATGGATTGGATCGGAAATTAGCACTTTCGGAAAAAATCCACTCTTATCGGAAGTGGAAAATTGGAGTGAAAAAGTGTTTCGAAAATCAGAAACTTTCGGATATGGATCGGCGGAATTCGAAAATATCTAATTTTTAGTCACCTAAAATAATATACATAATTATATTGATACTATAAGTGTAAAATTATTTGAAGTGAACAAAAAAATTCAGAACTTTCGGAAATTTTTGGGAATTTTTGGAAAATTGGATGTGAAATTATAAGGGCTCAGACAGATTTTTATTGTATTATGGTTTTTCACTAGAATTTAGCAGCACCTGAGATTTTCCATTTGCAGGTAACTCCGAGCTAAATGATGCTTATGGAATTCGATGTCGGTGTTCTTAATGTTTATTTCGTGCATTTAGAGAATCTCGTTCTATTCGAGATGGTGTGGAGCTATATGTATGTAATTAACTTACTTGTGTTGAAAAATCGGTTGCTACTGCGATTCTTGTTTTAGGCCGACGAGGTTTTTTAACGAGGCCCGTATTTTTATAAAAATCAGTTTAATTATTCACAAAATCAGTATATCAGTTTAATTATTCACAAAAGAGATTCTCTAAATGCACAAAATAAATAATTAAACATTAAGAACACGATTTTTTTTCTTGGGATAGCATTGTAACCGGACTCATCCGTTTTTTATTCACAAAAGCGAATGCCGCTCAATGATACGCCATTATTCAGTAACTCAAACTTACACAACTGTGATTATTATGCAGATTATTCAACTAAAAATTGTTAGCTTCCTCATATTTATTATTCAGCCAAATTTAAAAGCAAAGAAAACAAATCTACTACAATGGTTTTAGCATATATGTACAAGAGTCTGAATAACGACGAGGCCACATAGCAACTCAGCAGAGAGTTTTACGCACATATCGAAATGACAACAGTTGAAAGAAAAAACAGACAACAGTTTTGCGTTTCATATACAGATATCATCCATCATCCATCATAAGCGCAATCTAAGAGATGAATGCTTTCACCACATCTTTGTACTCACAAACTAATCCTGTTCTCGGACAACTGATCTTCCCGTTGTTTTGCTTTGCCATTTCCTGAAGCGCCTGCAAAAGAAAATTATTATTTAGATATTATTTAGTAAATTATTATTATAATAATCTAAGAAAAAGTATCGGAAATCGATTAACAGACCCTAGTGCTGTAAACATAGCCGTTGGGCAAGACGAGAGGTGGATTATCACAATCCATGAGCTCTTTGCTTATGTAGCAAACAAGTTTAGAGTGATGCTGCTTCGAGAATGGAAGTGGCATTGCTAGTTTACGGAAGCCCTCTTGCGATAGAGGATCCTCATTCGTGCAAGCATTTTTGTAACAGTATCTAAACCCCCCCAAAAGTCAAGGCAAAAAACACGGACATAGTTTTAACAGTTAATTTTAGCAGTAGAGAAATAATATATATTTACGAGATTTTAGTATTGGATACGGGGTCTTCAATGCACATAAGCCAGCTTGCAGATATATATGCAGTAAAGGCTCAAGAGTCATGCCATACAATTTGTAGAATTCTTGCTTAAATTGGTCGACCAAATAATCCCATTGCCTTTCTTCGAACAATACCTGCAAAACAGTAATTCTATCTCGAAAAGTTATTTTCAGTCAACGTGTTACGTAATTGTGTCAAAATATCTGTGAGATAACTGTCTATCATAATTAGAATTTAGCAGTTATATTAATGGGCCCATAAAATATGCCATATGTTAATGAAATAGTATCTAACGGATGGCATACGCGTATGGAATTGCTGCATAACCTAGATAACGCTCATTCTAAGTTAAATTGAAGGAACTGTTCTTAAAATATTAAATTACTATATTACCGACCACAATTTAGAGAATGAACGAAACAAACAATTAAGCTTAAGCAAACAAATAACGGCAATATCAGATTCTCAGAGAATTTATAAGAATGGAAATTTTAAGAGTCGCAGGAGTTAGGGAAGTATTTTGACCTTGTACGTTGAACATTCAGTGTTACTTCTGAAAGCAAGGGTCGCCATAACACGCTGCAATTCTTTCATATGGGTAGCTCCCCAAGGTGCCAGGTACTTTCGAGCATATGATATAGCTTGCATACTATTTTCAGTCCTTACTAACTCGATGAATTCTTGCAGTCTCAACTGGAACTCAAATTTGCTCTGAAAAAGCACTCAGCACTAAACAGGTTTAGTATAAAATACTGTGATACAAGTTCATAAGCTTATGATCGACTGAGCGTATAAAAAATGCAGAAACTAGAAAAAAAATTAAAAATTAAAAAAAAATAAGAGGAAAAAAGATGAAGCAGTATTTCATACAATTACAGTGTACTATCTACTGGAGATTTCTTTTCCTACGGAATTAATTGTCCTGCAATGAATATGAATGATGCGATAGTCCTCTAATTGGAAGTTCAAAGGTGCCCAAGAAATGACTGAAGACAGGAAACATTGTTAGATAGAAAAAGGATAGGCTGAAACAAAATCTTATGATTAGTCAGTGGGAAAACTTAGAGTCTCAACAATCTTATATATAAAAGAAAGAAACGCTGCGCAACCCTAAAAAATTCTAATGTTATTTTTTTAATTAATTATTTTTAATAATTTTTCTCTACTAATTTTCAACAATTATGAATCTCCTATTTCTTATCAATATATCTCAAATCTTAAGAGATAAAGATAGAAATTCGATTTGTTAAATCTAAATCTATATATTTGGATTATAAGTCTTAGTTTTTAAGATTTAAAAAAAAACTAATGTTATATAAAATATGAATAATACTACATTATTAAATTTTACTATGTTCGTGAACTATATTTTCTTATTATGAATTAAATTGATTTTTTTTTTAATCGTGAAATAATATCCCGTGCATCGCACGGGAAAAAAATGCTAGTAAAATTTAAAAAGAAGTTGCACCTGATATCTAACTAAGAAATTCCACTATGAAAATAACAAGGAAACAATGAAACTAAAGAAAATACTCTGAGAATAAGAATTTTGACTAAACTAATTCCTTCCCAAAACCGACTGAAACTGTTGAAAATTAAAATTTTGACGGGATGGCGGAAAGACAGTATTTAAACTGTTGAGCAAGGAATTAAACAAATATCCAATAATTGTTCACACGTTTTGTTCTTTGAGGAATATATGTTCATTTTCTTGTATTGTTCACTTTTTCACTTGTACGAAAAGAGCAATTTGGTTGAAACTGAGCCACTGGCCGATGTACGTAATTCTAAAGTTAGCTCCATTGACAAAATTCATGAAAGTGACATCAGAAAACGATACTTATCGTTGAACTAAAAGTCAATTCATGAGATTTAAAACATAACCACGCAGCAGTAAGCATCTAATATATAAAGCAAAAGCCAAGGAAAGCATCTTGATAGGATTGGCTGGTGGAAGCAAGTAATTGAAGAACTCCCATAGAGGAGTGAAAGTCGAAGAGAGATCACAACTAGAGGTCAGCAGTTGGTGGTCATGGTGGTCAAGTATTAATGTCAATCTTTTTGATGACATGGATCCCAAGTCTCACATTCAAAATTTGACGTTAACAGTAAGATGAAAAATAAGTCGATTAAAATCAAGTATATAACTAATAAACCAAGTACCACGGGTGAAATAGATCTCATATAGAATAAACCGAACAGAGATTTTACATTCAGATTCTAGTAGGTGCGAGAAGCTTAACAAGCATTAGGGTAACCATACATGAAATGTTTGGACATAGAAAACTTAGCTATATTTACTCTTATTCTCTTACTGAAATTCCAATTGCTTCTAGCAATACTGTATCCATCCCATCCCCCGCCGACACACACAGCACATGCACATAATATATTACCAACAACCCAAACCGACCTGCGTCTTAAGTGACTTGTGCATAAACTTGTGTATCATTGATGCTAATATGGAAACAGACCATAATAATTTAGTCTTCAGTGGCTAATCAATTTCCCTGCACCTAACATATTCCAATTGTTTACAATTATTTTAGAGTACTGGAGTTCTCCTGAATTGACCAATTTCTATACATAAGAATCTCCATCCAATGTGAAACGGAAAAATGATAACCACCAACATCATTTCAGATAAAGGGAGCCATAAGAAAAGACAAAGGGAAAAGAAAGCTAGAATGTGATTACCTTCGTCTTCTTCAACCTGGATTTGTTGTCAGCACACCAAGCTAGAGCAGGGGCCACCTCCTTCTGTTCAAGCGCTTCAATCACCTTTTTCGCCTCAAGAAACACATCTATATCGACAAGATCCTGCTAAGATAGACCAGACGTTATTTAGACGCCAGCCTTTCATTTCTATTAAAACTCCAACACGCACGAGCAGTAACAAGTTATGATGTCTACCCGAGAAATAACTTGACTAATTACACAAGTTTGTTTGTTTCTAATTTTAACCAATTCGTAAAGCCAACATACATTAGGAATGATGCTGAGACTTCTATCAGATTATTGACATTTACACAACTTTCACCAGCATAGGGTAGATAAATCATATTTCAGTACTCATATTCAAAGGTAAAATTTGCTCGTCTGTTAGTTTCTAAATTTTTCCAAGTCGCAAAGCCAACATATTAGGAATGATGCTGACTGAGACTTCTATCAGATTATCGACATTTACTCATATTCAAAGGTGAAAGTGAATCCAGAAGAACTGTAACAATCGCACGTCACCAACAGAACAAGTAACAACCTGACGAATAAAATGATTCAAAAAACTTTTCACCTGAATATTGCTGCTCTCAGCAAGCTTTACGGCAGTATCGTAATATGACATTCTCAACATGTAATCAACGAGTATACGCTTCAAGCGGATGCTGTTCCACTTGGGCAAATTGTCCACTTCTGCAGATTCTAAATGTTCCAGCCTGGTCCGGCATCTCTGTGCTTGTAACTGCTCTGTTTGACTTCCCTCTTCCAACTAATTCATCAACCAACGAATAACAAATGTCATATTATCGATCAGAGATGAAAATGACTCAATCTACATTCAATTTCAACAAGATTACAGCATCTAATTTCCTTGATTAAAATATAATAACATCATGCATTATTTAGACGACAACTCATGAATTAGAAAAGAAGAAAAACCAGAATACTAATTGTATACTTCTGCTTCGAGACAAGAAATCAAGATTACAAGCCTCAAATTCTCTATTGAAATCAAATTCTTCTTAAACAAAATCCATACGAACTGAAGATTATTAATAATTCACACGAAACGAAACCAAAATCAAATTGAAACTGGCGATGCAAATCTAGTGCCGAAAGGGGGAAAAAGGAAAGGATACTAATTACATACCTTTCGTTTGAGACCCTGCAATCGGGAGACGAGAGAAGTGAGTTGTCGAACGGCTTCTTCTCTGGAAATGTCAGAGGCGGCGGCGGGGACACCGGAAATGACGGCGGAGACTTCTTTCTCGATGGTGCGGTGGTTGTAGCGGATCGTCTTCTTGTAGTGCTCGAAGGGGACGCGGAGGAACTGATGTTCGAGTTTGAGTGACTCCGCCAATTTCGCTAAATTCGACGGAGGAGGAGCAGCGATGGGGGTGGCGGTGGCGGTGGCGGTGGCGGTGGGCAGTTGCGCATCCATTTCCATTGGAGTAGACGACATTTTTCTCTTCTCTGCTAAAATGTAAAATGTGAATATCTATTTCTTTTTTTTTTCTTTTAATATATATATAAGAGTAAAAAGTGAGGAAAAGAATATAATATTATAATCGAACTAAATAGTTCTTATTATTATTCTTTTTTATAAGAAAAATGTTATAGGGTAAATTAAGAATCCTTCCCTTAACTTAAGCTAAATTACGAAAAATGCTCCCACCTATCCGTAATTACTAACCACATGTTAGTTTTCATCTTGCACCGACCCCTTAAAGTGTGATTTTCCAAGAAACTTTTTTTATTCGAGCAAATATTCACAAATTCTACCCCGATAGACGTTACATTTCTTTATGCTATTTTTTTGAGACAAAAATTACCCTTATGGGGCCTTTATATGGAATCATTATTCTTATTATATAATACATTCACAACTTTTTAGTATTATTAACTCTCTTGAGGGTAATTTGTATCTTCAAAAAGTAGCATACAGAGATGTCGGTCTGCAAGGGTAGAATTGATGTTTTTTTGCAAAACATTCTATGGAATCAAAAGGATTACGTGCAAAATCACAGAGTAAAGGAGTCGGTGTAAGACATAAACAAATGTCGAGGGGATTTGGTAATTACTGATAGATGGAGTTATTTTTTGTAATTTAGCGTAAGTTCAAGAGGTTTCGTAATTTGCCCATAATTATATTAAAAGGGAAGGGTTTGTTATTATCAACGCATTTTTTTCCTGTTACAGTATGAAATAATTCATTTGTTACCTTTTAACTTTTTCCAAGTTCTCTAAACTTCCAAATAAATCGAACTTTTTAGGTCGTAATTTTTTCTGCTACAGTCAGTTGGAACACAACAATTATCAACATGGCCAACATCGATCCCGATAGTGAAGTAGAAAAATACGTTTTCTTCTGATAATCATCAAAAATTTTATGCGTTTTGTGTAGGATATCACGAAATTTGTCATTCCATTTCGTGCTCTCCTTCACGAAATGAAACATCAAATTCTGTTTTGTTAATTATTTCGAGCAAGACACTACGAAATCTTACAACATATTTCGTGGTTTTATGTACGAAGTAAAGGATACAATCATTTATTGTTTATTTCGTACATTCGTATACGACATGTAGTATATTATTTCGTGAAGTTGTATACGAAATCCCTAATGTTTTTTTTTTTTGCAAGTATCTAACTACTTTATCTTTTTTTTAAGCAGTAACAAGGAGATAACTTGTATTTTGATCCCTTAGTTTTGATCCTTCATATTACTCTCACTTCTTCCAAGTTGATATTGTGTTCGGTAGTAGAGAAGAATTAATCAAGTGGGCGAAAGCAACTGCAGTTAGTCATTCTCACCATTTGATTTGTCAGTATAGAAGGGAGAATGCACAATATTTGACGTGTGAAAAATACAGACATGGCCGACAAACGAATATCGATGTGGAAGATGATAGAAACACTGGAACAAAAAAAATGTGGTTGTCCATTCAAATTAATTGGTACAAAGTCAAGGTTTGATGAATTATGGCTGTTGACTGTCATCGATGGCAAGCATACTCATCCTCAGACGTTGTTTCCTCACAGACATGGTACGACTAGTCATATAACTCCACAACAGAAAGCAAGAATTCAAGAATTGAAAATTTCTCACGTGAAGCCAATGTTTATCATGGATAGATTGAGGAAGGATGATCCGATTATACAAACCTCTATGAAGCATGTTTACAGTGAATTGGTCAAAATTAAATCAGAGGAAATGGAGGGGATGGTTGTTATTCCGTTTATGATGCATATATAACTTTCAACAAGGAGGATATCGATATTGGCATCGCGTCGATAGTGAAACGAGCAACGCAATAACAGATGTTATGGTTGCTTTCCCCAAATCGATTAAGCTACTACGGTTGTTCGTGTACGTTATATTGATGGACTGCACATACAAAACCGATAAGTAAGTAAGCTTCTACGATTGTTTAAATTTTTATTGTAGTTTTATAATGTATTGTTTGAATATGTATCAAAAGTTGATGTAGGTATAAAATGACTCTTTTGGAAATGATTGGGATTACTCCAGTTGGGAATAATTTCATGATTGTTGTTGCATTTATGCCGCATGAAGGTGCAGACACCTATGAGTGGACTTTGAATTGATTGAGAGAGTTGTTAGCTGGTGTTGAACCTGATGCGATCCTAACAGACCGGGAGTTGGGTCTCTTGAAAGCACTGCCTAATGTCTTTCTAGTTCCGTATCACATGTTGTGTATATTCCATATAACAAAAAATGTTGAGGCAAATGCGACGAAATTTATAGAAGGCAACAAAGAGCAAAGTCTTATATTCCGACGTGGGGTGTGGGCTAAGCTGGTGAAAGCAGAAACCGAAAAAGACTATCAGTACAATTACAATGAAATTGTTGGACGATATGTAGGATACCCTAGACATCATACAATATTTGAATGATACTTGGTTGATCTACGAGGAGAAGTTTGTTCGAACCCACAATGTGTATCATTTTGGCAACAAGAGCACCAACAAGTATTCCATGCTTTAGCTATTCCAGTGATAAAATATATCATATAAAGATAATATTTATATATAATTTGATTGTCGTTGTAATCGGACAGGGTGGAGGGTGCTCATTCTTCTGTAAAGGGTAGTTAAATGTTTAGACCGGAGGTGTTGATAACATGCAAGGCAAACTTCGGGACCAAGTTCATCCAAATTAGTCAGTTGAAGATTTTTCATTATCATCCAAGATACGGAAGCATAATGCAGCATGGTTGCTTTTAGGGTTTGGTATGTTACGTTATGAATTTGGCATTGGAGAAATTAGATCAAGAGATGGATTCCCTGGCGATTCAAGATCCGAGTATTTGCATCTACTATCTTTGGAATACTCATGGGATCTCTCTCACTTGCAAAATGCAGAAATGGAAGATAATGGCACGTTCTCCATTTCAAACGTGCATCCATTCTAGAGTACCATGGCAGTTGAACCTTTCGAACTACCTGGATATCAAGTAAACCGCGTGGTGATTATGGATAGACAAATTGATGACCTGAATTGCAATTTGAAAAAAAAAATGAATTACTTGATCAAGATAAATGTCGTGGCCTCATTGCGTGGCATCATTTATCCGTGTAGGACCCATCTGTCCGAACCATCATTTGTTAAGACCAAAGGTCGACCAAAGAATAACTCGACAAAGATAGACCCTTTCGGATGGCAGTATCAACTTGATTCGAAGACAGTTAAGTCGTCTTGTGATTTTAAGGGTCGTCAATCCTCACCTGCAACAAAGATTCCTAAAGCAAAGATTGATAGAACCACTAATGGAACGCCTCAATCGAAGATGAAAGGTCGTGGTTCTCGTATTCCCACACAAGAATTTGATGGCCCACCAATACCTGCACATGAAGGAATCGATTTCTATTTTTTCATGGCCAAATTTATGTCAACGTATGGCGGATGGAAACTGTGGGTACCGATGTGTTGGTCAAGCCGTGTACATGGATCAAGAAACATGGCCTCAAGTGATAGTGGAGTTCCTTATTGAGCTATACGAGCATGGTGATGTGTACACGTCGATGTTTGGCAGTTCTGGATAGATTGAGCAAGCTTATTGGATGGACATGAATGAAATGGGATTGACATTTCAAATACAGTGCAGTGGGCGGCTAGGTTTTAATTTAAATCGGCGGCTTGGGTTGGTGGAGTGGGTGAATCTAAGATTTTTCAATTTGATGTCTATAGATATATGTGAGTGATTATGAGTGTCTGACGGCTAGGATTAGAGCTAGGGTTTCCAGAATATGTGAGCACATATAGATGGTTGTGCGTGAGTACAGACTACTTCAATTTTAAACGGGTGTCTATAGATTACTAAGGCCAAAAAAAATTGTTTTTTTTATATAATTTTCAATATTATGTAGAAAAAAAGGAGAAAAATAGATTTTCATACTAGTGAAAAAATACGAAAAAAAGAGAAAATAATAATAAAAATGGTAGATGCCAAAATGAAAATGTTAAATGCAGAATAAAAATTGATAAAATACAGTTTAAAATATTATTTGGTGCGTATTTCATTTATTATATGTGGAGGGTATTTTTAGAGTGAAATTCATAAATAGTGTGAAGCAAAGGTTTAAAAATTAGGCTTGTCATTTTGTTTTAATAAATTTTGTCCTAAGGGATCTATGTCTTAAGAACCCTATAAATTATTAATCGCTTATTAGCTAATAACTAAATAACTATTAATTGATAATTACATATTTATTTATCTATAGGGGAATCCTCCCCTATAGATCCAATGCTACCCGCCATAGCTATCGAATTCCGGTCAATATGGGGTATCTCATCCACGACGGGTAAATCAGCAACGCCGGCTACTTGCTCAATAACTCTCCCACGTCAATGAGATGCGCTCGGCTTTCGCCCCGGCTTCCCCACCTCCCTTGCCATATCGAAATTTAATTTCGGGACTTTTTCAGAACTCGAAAAACCACTCATAATCCCTTTCCTCTTGTCCTGACGTGCCATCTGTAAAATATAAACATATTAATTAATTAAAAAAATATTAAAACATGAAGTTCTCGTTTTGCAGAACACATGAACTTGAATAATGTTCAAGTTCTCGTTCTGCAGAACACGCAAACTTGAATAATCTTCAAGTTCCCGTGTTCTGCAGAATGGGAACTTCATGTTTTTTAAGTCCTCCGTTCTGCAGAGCACGATAACATGAAGATTATTCAAGTTCTCGTGTTCTTTAGCACGGGGGATTCATATTTTATTTTTATTTCTTTTCCGAAAATAAAAATTAAAATGTTTTTTGTGCTTCTCGTTCTTCAGAGGACGCAAACTTGAAGAAAGTTCAAGTTTTCATGCTCTGCAGAATGGGAAGTTCAAAAAACTTGAATCCTCCGTTCTACAGAGCTCGGATACTTGAACTGTCTTCAAGTGTTCGTGCTCTTTAAAACGGTGGCTTCAAAAATTTAATTTTTTTTTCCACAAATTGGCTAGATCTAATCTTAAACATGTATTTTTACCTAAATTGTAAATGAAACTAATTAAAAGTAGTGGGATATTGAAAAATTACCGGAATCGAGCCTCGTTTACTACGGATTCAAAGTCGAAAAAATTTGCGAAATTCGAATGTCGTAATATAATTTGGAAGTAGGAGAGAGTATTTCAGAAAAAAAAATTAAAATGAAAAAGATTACGCTGTATCAAGTAAAAGCCTCGCTGCAAATAACAACACCCATTATGAAACGTAGGTCAAGGCTGAAGTGGTTCATAGGCCCCACCCTAAAGGACAAAGAAAAAAGACGCTCCGCCTCACGCGCGGCATCGAAAATTTAAAATTTTATTGTCTGACAAAAATACCCCTAACTTTCTCTTTAATTTCTCCATTCAATCCAGCAGAAGAAGAACAAATATACTCCAACTCACTGTGTGAAGCGACCAAAGGTGTTTGATATCAATCAATTCACACTTTCAACGGCCGCATCTTCTCTCCATTTTCAACCTTCCATCTCAGTAAATTCTCTCTCTCTCTCTCTCTCTCTCTCTCTCTCTCTCTCTCTCTACGTAATTAGTGTGCTTTTATAGTAGATGATTTTTACAGATGTTTTTTTTTTTTAATTTCTGTATTAATAAGGGGATGGTGGATTTTATTGTGGGTTTGATTTTCGAAATCTTTGGAATTAAATTAAGCAAGTTATCGCTGTTTTTGAATCTTCGAACCGATTACTTCAATTTGTGTTGAAATTTTTGAATTTGTTTTTCAAATTTTTGAGTTGAAAAAGCAAGGAATCGGGGGAGTCGCTTAACGGTCACTTTTATTGCTTGAAATTTATGGTACAGAGAGTAAAGAAATTAATTTATTGGTCTCTGTTTCAACTTCTCGTTTTTAAATTTCTTGTCATTTTAAATCGAATTCAATTAGGGTAATAGCTGCAGCAATTCAAGAAACAGAAAAAAAATAACATTTCTTCTTCTTCTTCTTCTTCTTCTTATTTAGGTTTTTGCCTGGGAAGAAAAAAGTATTCAAGAGAAGAGAATTGTAAGTATTTTGTAATTGTGTAGGGAGAGTGAGGGTAGATTAGTCTTTAGGGTTTTAATGAAAGCTTCAGGCACTAATGTTTTTTCTAATCATGGTTTCAGAAACACATTGATTAGTTCTTTTTTTTTCCCTTTTCTTTATTGCATGGGATTCTCATGATTCCTGCTAACGGTGAAAGTGGTGACTAAAATCATTGCTGAAAACCTGCAATATATTTAATAAATAGAAAAATAGTGATACAAGTACATTTTGTGCAGTATAGTTTCTTTAGAATATTGTTTCTGTAGCAGTGATGTCAGATATTGTGAATCCAAAGGTTCTCTTTGTTTAATTTAGACCATGTGCTTTTTCTTCTTCTAATCTGTCTTTCTTTCCTTTTCTTTTCTTTTTTTAATTTAAAAAAGTTATTCTTAAAAGATAGGTTTTGGGCACTTGAGTTTCTTCAGTAGAGAGTTGTTGTGTTATACATTAGACAGGTGAAGATGGTATTCTCAAGTATTCTTTCATCGTGTTTCGGTGCAATTATTTGTTAGTGTGATGTATTCGGATCAGTCCGTAACATTCTGCCTTAACTTGTTCGTTTTCATTTCGGTTCCTACTATTGCAAATTCACTAATGCTACTCTCTAATTTTATTATTTTTTTATCTATTTTTGGTTGCTACAGGTACGTTATCAAGTTCGATGATATATAGTTATAACTGAAGCCAAAGTCACGGAGATGAAGAAGCTATTCTTTTTCAGATCGCATTCATCCAACACCGTTAACAACAATCAACTCTCCCCACCGTCGACAGATAAGCAAGTTTACTGGGAAAAGCCAACCGAAAAAGTGGACAAGTCTGTCAAAAACAAGCATGGTTTTGAAGAACAAGAATTTGGCAGCAGCCCTTGTCTGAGAAGAAGCCTCTCGTTCTCATCGGGTTCTCCTTACGAAACTGGAAAAGGGCCGAGCAAAAACTATAACCCCACTGGTTCTCCATGTCATGCTACCTATTACTCAAATAAGCACTCTTCCCGGTAGGCATTCTTGTTTTTCTTGTGTCTTTGGTAATGTTATTTTTTTTTTTGGGATTGTAAATTTTCGTTTGTTATTCAGGCCTCGTGCATTGACTCCCGAGAGGCAACCCAGGTCAAAACGCGTTGATGATGCACGGAGAATGGAGAAATTTGATCGAGTTATTTCGAGAGCAAACTCTGATTTGTTAGAGAGCTCTTCTCATTGCTCGAGTAACGTGTCGAATAAAGTTTTGGATCGATACATTGATGGAGAACAGCAGATGGAAGAGTTTGAGCCAAAAGCCAATTACTTCATGAAAAATCAATTCGAAAATGGGAACGGCTTGGTAAAGCGGCCACCGAAATTTCAGTTCAGTGCACCTGTTTCACACGATGGTAGGATACAAAAACCCAAGTCTCAATCCTTCAGAGAAACCAAACACGTGGGCGAAAATGGATATGGCAACGAATCTCCACGAAAGCTTGCAAAAAACGTGGTCGAGAGACTTTCAAAGTCTCAATTTTTCCCCACGATGAGATCGAAAGAATCCGACGGTGACAGCCCAATCACCATTGATGACGTTTATGGAAGAAACATGAACAGGTGTTCAAATGCGTATGCGGATGAAGTATCTTCAAGAAAGTGTTCAATGGATTGGCACATGGAGACTAAGGAAGAAATGCCAGAATTTTTGGAGGGCACTTTTTCTGACGATAAAGAGAGGGCTGGAGAATATATCGACATTTTAGCAGATACTGATGTTGAATTATTTAAAAAATTTAAAGAAGCAGAGGACCGTGCTGCAATTCTGTCGAAAGAGTTTGAAAGGGGGAACTTTTTCGAGTTTAGAGAGCTTAGCGTGCCGACATTGATTCAGAAAATTAGAAGCTTAACAGAGGAGAAGGTGAACATGGCTATAGAAGTTTCAGCTATCTTAGAGGATAGAATTGCAGAAAAGGCTTTATTCAGAGAAAAACTTAAAATAGCAAGGGAAGACGCACAGTCGCGGAGATTGGAGAAGGAAAAGAATGAGCTGCAGTTAACACTCGAACGTGAATTGGATAGGCGATCAACTGAGTGGTCCCACAAGCTCGATAAATTACAAGCGGAAGAACATAGGCTTAGGGAAAGGGTACGGGAATTAGCAGAGCAGAATGTGTGTCTCCAAAGAGAAGTCTCTTCTTCTGGTGAAAGAGAAATGGATTCTCGAACAAGAATTACAAACTCGGAGAACCAACTTGGGAATTTATCTGCTCAAGTCAAGGAAGCTAAGGAAGAGAATCAATATCTGCAGAAAACTTTATCGGAAATGCAGGAGAAAACTAGAGCGGCGGAAGAAGATCTGGATTGCATTCGAAGGAACTATGAGGAAAAGGTAACCGAGTGTAAAGATATGCACCAATCTATAAGCAGACTCCAACGAACGTGCAGTGATCAAGGGAAGACGATTGATGGACTAAGAGGGCTTTGTGAAGAACTTGGGAAGAAAATTTCTCAGGAGAATTTTGATTTCGAGTTCGTTAAGCTGCCAGTCGAGCACATGAGACTAACGGGGGTGGAGCATGCACTGAGGAAGGAGGTCGAATCGTATAGGGTTGAAGTTGATTCGCTTAGGCATGAGAACATCGATTTACTCAACCGTCTTAAAAGCAATGGGAAGGAGGGTTCGTTTTCAACTTATAAGCTGGACGGTGAACTACAGAGTCGTATTAGCCTCTTGCAAAGTCAAATGCTTCCGTTGCTTATGGAGAGCAACCAGCTCGGCAGGAAATTAATTGAATACGTCAAAGCCAACGGTGGGTTCCCACTGAAAAAGGGGCCCGCTTCTGCCTCGTGTTTAGATGGACAAGTTCTTGTTGAGTGTGAAGTGAAGCTCCAAGGTTTAGAGCGAACAGCTGAAAGCTTAACGACCAGTATACAGACTGTGTCCGCTGTTCTTCAAGAGAAATCCACACTGTTGCAAGATTCTCAAGCAACTGATGAATCGCACAAACGGAATGAACAGAAACAAGAGGTAGATGATTGGTTCTTGAGTTTTAATTGTTTTATTACGAATTTTTAGATTGATATTTTAACTTACTGTTTTGCGATGTTATTTGGTTTACTTGACAGGACGTAATCAGAACAGAGTTGAAAGCGGAGACTTTATTGACGAGTTTGTTGAGAGAGAAGCTTTACTCGAAGGAGCTTCACATGGAGCAGCTGCAAGCAGAGCTTGCTGCAGCTGTTAGGGGAAAGGATGTTCTTAAATGCGAAGTACAAAATGCAGAAGATAACTTCTCTTGCATAAAACACAAGATGAAAGAACTCGAGCTTCATGTAAGTCTAAATACCAATTTCTTCTTATTCGGCAAATCGGCACCTATTCTTTCGACAAATTTTACCGCATATGTTTGAATAGCTGGAATAAATGTATTCTTGTGGCCTTGCATGTTTATCTGTCTTAGAAGTGCGTTACGAGATATTACGACTTTACCTTGGGTTATGAATCTGCGTATGTCTAGTAGTTGTATGTATCTTAATTAGGAATTACGTCTCTATCTGGTAGTCGACTTTGATTGGATTACTATTTACAGTAGAACCTCGAAAAATTAATAACCTCGCTTAAATAATAGTTTTTCTCGGTCCTGACTCGTTGAAAACGTATTAAATTATTAGTTCGATAATTTAATATTTATCTAAATTAATGGAATTTTGCTTGTCCCGATTGTATTAATTTACAGAGGTTTAACTGTAGTTTCGTATCTTTTGTATTGACCAACTGAATATTATTGATATCTATGCTCCAACTTGTGATTGGATGATGATGGATGGAAACCCGTCCATCGAATTCTAATGCGTTATATTTTTCACCTTAATTTTTTATTTAAGTGTTAATATTTTTTTCGTTGTTGTATATGTATGGGCAGATGATGAAAAAGGACGAGACTATAAATCAGCTACAAAGCGATTTGCAAGAATGCAAGAAAGAATTGGCAATTGTGCGGGGAATACTACCAAAGGTATCGCAAGAGAGAGATTCGATGTGGGAGGAGATTAAGCAGTACTCCGAGAAAAACATGTTACTGAATGCCGAGATCAATATGTTGAGAAAGAAAGTCGAGAGCCTCGACGAAGATATACTTGTGAAAGAAGGCCAAATCACCATTTTGAAAGACAGTATGGGCAAATCTTTCGACCTTCTTGCAAGTCCAGATACTAACGAGAATTTCTGCTGGACGAATATGCGATAATTGATTATGATATACAATTTCTTTTTTCTTTTACATTTTATTATAGGGTTTTTTTTTTTTGGGATTTGTTGAAGCTCATTTTGCAGCAAATGTGGAGTAAATGAGTAGAGATTTTCTCACCAAGTTTACACTTTGTGGCATAGTTGTAATATATACAACTTTGTGGTTTGGTTTTCATAATTGTTTGTGTAGTTGGCATTCGTGTTCTGTGAAGGAACATTCGATATGTTTGTGTTGCAATAATAATAAAAATGTGTATATCCAATCCTATATTGGAAGCTCAAAATTTAAATTTATAGGCTATTTTTTTTTCTTTTTTTTTCTTGGGTGTTAATTGCCCAGATCCCCTTGTGTAAATTTAATTGCCAAAAAAATTCCATGTTTTAAAATAAATTAGCAAATACTCCCCTATTTTGCGTTTAAACATATTCTAGAGGCTGAGATTTTTTATTTTTTATTTTATTTTTTATTTTTTATTTTTTTTAATTTTTTTTCTAGAAGTAGAGGCTAAAATTTTACTACTAACAAAAATTTGCAATTTATGTGCGTAAATGACGGCCATCCCTTTGAGACATGTCAATTACAAAAAAAATCCTCTTAACTATAAAACACAAGATGAAAGAACTGAGCTTCATGTAAGTCGAAATACTAATTTCTTCTTATTCGACTTACATGGGTGTTTTTATAACCACTTTAACTATAAATCTTCTTATACAGAATCTTTTAGATTTCGTGTAATTTTCTCTAGTTTGTACTTGTTTTGTGCAAAAATGCAGTGTTTGATGCACCGTCATCTGATATTTTTACATGTCAAGAGACACATCTTATAATCATCTTGTTTCAAAATGTGGAACTTGAATGAGATAAAACGGGTAAAAATTGGAGAATATGCCACATAATCTAGAAGATTTCACTAAATTTGACACCGTAAGGGTGATCGTGTAAGAAGATTCATAGTTGAGATGGGTAATTGTAATCACCCAAACATGATTGATTTTTTCATAATTTGACTTTACCTCATGGATGACTGTAATTTAAACTTTTTTTTTTTTTTTAAATCTCATGAAAATACTTTACCATAAATTCAATATAAATTAAAAAAAAAAATAAAAAAATTCAACAAATTACTCCAAAGTGGCATCCTAGGATCCTACCATGACAATTAATGTACATGACTAAATGTTATCTAATGGGAATGTGTGGTGTTTGCTACATGAATTTCAAGTATTGTCATGGTTGGGAGTTACTTATTTTTCTTTGTTTTTATTTTTGTTTAGGAAAAATGCATTTGGCTCCCTTAAAAAATCATTTTTTGCACTTTCCCCTTGCAAAATACAAAAAAGAGATTACGCCACTTCAAAATAAAGAACGAGCTGCAATTGCCCCGAAAGTGGATTCCGTTAATATTTTCACTTGAATTAGGTTATTTATGAAGGGTATTTTATATTTTTCACTCTAAATTGCTACTCACATGTCTGTTATTAGCTATCAAAATCGAAAAATTTTGTTAACCTAGGGCTTATTTTTTTCTCCTCAATAGCAAATCACAATACTTGGATACGATCTCCCATCTTCGTCACTGATTTTCAAAAAACTTATACAAGGTAATAATTTATTTTATTTTAGTGATACGGGAGAACACGAGTAACTATGGTTATGTTTGTTAGCATTTCCAAATTCTTTCCACACTTTCCCCAAAATGAAAATTATCTTTTCACACTATTTTTAAAATCTTTCCCCAAAACAAATTCAAATATTTCTCTCTCTAACAAACATGATTTGACCGCTACAGTGAAAATTGTCTTCACTAAAATACAAAATCAAATCACTTTATCTTTTAAATTCTTCTTCCAAAATACCTTTTCCCAACACCTTTCAGACATGATTTGACTTGCTACAGTACAAATTGTCTCCTCCCAAAACACAAACAAACTTTATTTAATTTTCAAATTCTTCTCCCAAAACATCTTTCCCCAAAATATAATGGAAATGTAAGCCCAAAAGCTTACCAAACAGAGCCTATATTATGCGTTCGAAAATGGTATTTTGTTCGGCAAATGTATTGTCAATTGAAGGTTATTTTCTACGAGCTTTCTTCAATCAAATTGATATTTACTATGGTAATTTTTAGGTTTTCTTTTAATTTACATTTACTATAATATTATTTAATTTATTACTATGAAATACTATAAAAAAAAAAGAAAAATTAACGAGCAAAAAGGAGCTAAAGTTGACCTTTGACTAAAGAAAACAAAAAAGTTGACCATTCATTTTCTATTATTGCTTATTTTTTGTTTTGCTAAAATCTGTATCATCAGTATATCTTTTTTCCTTTTTTCTGTTTGGACTTTTAATAAAACAAATATAGAGAGAGGATATAATGATAATTCTGAAAAGGGTAAATTACAAACGCCCCCTGAGGTATGGTCAAATTACAAAACCCCCCCTCTTGTTTGGATAATTACATCTACCCCCTCAACTATGATTTTTTCTTAGACCTCCACCTTTATGGTGCCAAATTCAACATATTCATCTAGATTTCGTGAAATGTGCTCTAGTTTGTACTCTTTTTGTGTAAAAAATACAGTTTCCGATGCACCACAAACTGATATATACAAGCTAAAAATAACATATTATGATCATCTTGCTTCATAATGTAGAGTTTGAATGGGATAAAACGGGTACAAAAGTGATAATATTCCATATAATCTCGAAGATTCCACTAAATTTGATGAGTTGAGGGGGTGGTTGTAATTATCCAACCAAGAGGGGTGTTTTTGTAATTTGACCATACCTCAGGGGGTGTTTGTAATTTACCCTTCTGAAAATGATAGGGAAGTATTTTGTAACCAATATTGGAGGGGTCTATCTATAATTAATCCAAAATAAAATATACAAACCTGAACTTGAAGGGGTATTATTTCAACGAACTATATATATTGGGGGTCACTAGGAGTGTTTATTAGAATATAGGGGGCAAGTACAAAGAGCAATATTCATCGAGGGGGAAATCGCCAATTGTTTAAATTTATGTGGAATCGCAGAAGAAAAGAAGTGAAGAAGACGAGCACACATACAGAGATAGAGAGATAAAGAGAGATTGGAGAGAGGAGAGAGAAACAAATATGTTGTTTCAGGTCGGAGGGCAAGGTACACGGCCGACATTCTTCGAGATGGCCGCCGCTCAGCAGCTGCCGTCAAGTCTACGCGCCGCCCTAACTTACTCCTTTGGGGTATTTATCTTTCTCAGTTTCTGCACTCTGCCATTTCAATTTGTCATTTTCTTCTCTAGATTATTTCCTATTGGAAATTGGAATTGTCTCTGATAAACCTAAATTCTAATTGTTTAGTTAATTGAACCAGATTATAGTAAGAAAAAAATATCTCAAGAAGTATGAATTTCCTAAATTGCAAATGTCAGAATAACTCCATGCATTTTAAAGTTTGTTAAACTGAAAAATTTGCAAATTTTTTGAATCTATGATCGTATTGAGTGATCTTCTATGAAAAATTTGTAGAGCACTTATTCAGTTTTTTTTTTTCTTTTTTGTGTGTGTGGTGAAAATGGATTTAACCAGACAAAAAACCCTTATTGCGTGAAGTCTTGAATATTGAGATAATCTATTCATGATTAGTTAACTATTTGAGGATGACTTGATGAACCATCTTCTACGAATGATGAGTTCCCTATATACTGTCTGTCATACCTCAGAAAAGTAGAAAATATTGTTGTCTAATCAAACAAGATATGTTATTCGCCTAGTAAACCAATGTTCCCGTCGTTTTAAATACCTTATCGGTGCCTCTGTAGGAGACTACTTCTATTTGTATATTCCAGAATCACGCGGTAAATATTATCAAGAGAAGATAAGTTCTAGCATTGCCCATGGTATATAAGTCATGCAGTTCTCTTCCAAAAAGAACAGCATAATTAGAGCAGATTATACAATTATTTATGATGTTTAATTGTATCCAACTGCTTCTGTGCTTGTAGTTTTGGGTTCTGGGTTTCGGGTTCAATTTCGATTTCCGTCCAAAAAATAAATAGTGAAAGACAAAATAAGAAATAAAAATAAAAAGAACACACACACACACACTCATGGGTTACATTAATAAAAACTCGGGCTGAATTCTTCTATTACATGCCTCTTGCTTGCAGGTATTCGCTTTAAGAAGATCCTTTATTCACAAAATTTTGGACTACGAAGATGAATTTTTCTCGCTGCTTATGCTTGTGCTTGAAACTCACAGTTTGCGAACAACAGGTGAAAGTCATCTGAGTACTCACTTCTTGAATAATACTTGTATGTAGTTTCAACATATGAATTTTACTGGTATGTATCAGAAAATGAAATTTTCAAATGAACAAGCTATTGGCTTGTGTGACTGAGAAGGACTCAAAATGACACTCGATTTCCATCTTTTGAAATAAATCTTGAATGGTTCTGGTTGTACTACTTGCTGATTTGTTCCTTTAAATCTTTTCAGATGCTTCTTTTGCGGAATCTTTATATGGATTACGGCGAAGGGGTGTTAATATTAGATTAAAAACGAGCAATGCACCTAAAGACTCTGGTGAGGAGATCCATCACACCGGTTTACAAAGGCGGCAAAAAGTTCTCTCTGTTGCCTTTCTGGTGAACAATCATTTCAATTACTCTTTCAGCTATTTGATTATAGTAAATTAAGAACTCCATATGTTGTGAATATTATTCTACTACATTGTATATATTTCCTGATTCCTGAACCTGATTGCATCAGTTGTTAAAAAGTAATTTTTCTGGATTTATGAGTAACGTGATAAAGTCCAAGTGCAAGGGTATTTTGTGCAGTGTTTTCACATTTAGATTACTAGAAAATACTCCATGTTTAGATAAAAATTGATTTTAGAAGGGCTTTTTGCAAAGACACTTCTTAGGGGTTTTTTCTATTTGCAAAAACTACCCATCTAAATTTAAATTTATAAAATACAAATGACCCTTGATATTTGTCACCGTTTTGCAGATTGCAGTTGGTTGTTTTTTGAATGTTTTATTTTCAACTTGTTTTGGATGACGTCAATTACTTCCATAAATTTGTTAGACAACAGTAGCAATTTGTAAAAGATACAAATTCAAGGGGGTATTTGTATACATGAAAGGAGGTGTAATTTATACAGTCAGACAGGTAGATTCTGTACATAGCTATATATCATACTCTAATTATCAGTTGCTGGAAGTTGGTTGGTTTGACATTACTCTACGTAAACTGGTAGGTTATGCAAAAGCAAGGTAAAGTGAGACATAATTTAATCATTAACTGTTGATATCAGATATTTGAAGAATGCGAACTGCTACAAGATGTGAAGCATTTTGATCATAAAATTGAAACGTATCTCTCTGTAATCATTTTGCATATTCAAACTATAAGGATAAATGAATTCTTACTCTATTTTGTATTGAAAAAAGCTAGCTGTCGCTGACGTTTTGCCAAGATTTTTGTGATAAGCTGATACAAATACAAATATTTATTAGAGATTTGCATGTGGGTGGTTTGATATCTTTGGGGGGTCAACTAGCAATAGTTAAATCCTACCAAATAACAAATATCTAAAGGGTAATAAATAGGGAAATCATAAAAGCAACTAGCTTAAACCAAAACAGATTATATTGTAGAAGTATAATACTATAATACTATTACTCGACCTTAATATATTCAGGGTTGCATATAGTATAGGAAAACAGTGATTCGGTGGTAATAGGATTCGAGCACCAGAACGTTTCAACATAAATCTTACTCCTATTTTAATGTTAGGGGTAGTTTTCAAAACATCAAGTGGTTAAAATTTTTCTCAATATGCTTGAGGCCCTTCTTATATTAATCTCAGCATATATCCTTGGATGGGTAGATTATGATTATCATTCATGCAATGTCTGTAAAAATATTTGTTCTAATGCAAATGTAAATAGTTATCGAGAGATATAATGGAGAAAGTTAATATAGCATTGAAGATTAATGGAAAATGCTAAATATTTTTAGGTTGTGTTGCCATATTTGAAGTCAAAAATGCAATCAATCTACAACAAGGAAAGGGAAGCTACTCTTCAGGCAAGTCTATGGGGAGATAATGATGATAGGTTTGATGATACTGACTATGTTGGTGGGGGCAATAATTCTTCTTTTGCGAGGGAAACCTCGGCTATTGAAGCATCAGCTCGAGCTCGTTGGATGAAGAGGTTACAAAAGACTGTTTTTGCTTGCTATCCTTGGTTACATGCTGGAAATGAAGGTCCTTGTAGCACAAGTTTTGCCTTTAATTATTTGATGATTCGTAGTCTTTGTTTGGATTACTAGATTTTAATTGTTGCATTTATTTATTAGGTGTTGACGTTTCATCCTTGTTGAACTTGAATACTCTTTCCACTTACTTATATACTAAGATGTAGTTATGGATTACAAATATAGAGGAAGGATTACTATTTTGCAATGAACAAAAAGTCGAAGTTATGTCTTCCTGGCTATGCCTTTACACTTCTTATTGTTCATGGCTGAGCATGCTAAGTAGATTGAATAGGTGGCATGTAGCTATTTCAGACGAAAATTAAGACCATACAGATCATATCCCTGTATATAGTAGAAGGCGTGAAACTCATCTTTCGGAAGAATTTAAATTTGAACTACGTGTATGAACTAGTCTAATAGATCTGTAACTGTAGTACATGTCTTCTTTGGCATTTACTGTTTCTTTCTTTTTAGAAAAAATATATATCATGTTTCGCCGCAGACTTTGATGGTTTCATTTTATTATGATACTTTTTCTACACAAGAATATCCTCTGTAATATTTTTCCTGAAGTTTATCAATTTCGGTATAGAGCTTGCCGTGTCTTAATACACAAGCAAAGTAGCATATCCATCATGCAGCAAATTATCACCATTATCACTTGAATTTATAGCTATCATCCTCCTGATAAGAGCTAGTATTTTGACGTGCAGGATTATCTTTTTCTTACCAGCTATTGTACTTGTTGGACGCCACTGGGTTTTACTCTCTAGGATTACATGCACTTGGCATTCATGTTTGTCGAGCAACTGGGCAGGAGCTGGTATTCTTTCAAGATAATATGAATTAAAAGTTTTTTATATCTGAATTTATGTGTAATTATCCTTTTCAAATGTCAAAAGATCCCTCTTATATGTGTCTTAACTTGTTTACAGCGGATTTTTGTAAAATTTACGAGCTCAATGTACTAACATGTAGCATGCCTTCCCTCCTTTGGTATTATGCTTATATCAGAGATAATTTGTTTATTGTGATTCTTCTACTTCTGTACATTAATGAGATTAATAAATAATTACGGGTATTCTTGAATAAACTGCCCGCTTCATGTTATCACCCTCCTTGCCTGAAATATTTACTGTCGGAAGTTTTAGTCCTCTATTTTCTGCAGTTGGTGTAGTAATTTATTTTATGACAACAGTAGGCATGTGTTCTACCACTTCTTTTCTAATATTGACATTTGAATTTTCACATGACTTCATTGTTCTGTATTAATAATTTGAAGTTTAGCACATATACCTTATAACATTGTGGGCATGCAAAAAATGCAATATTCAAATGATAGTAATCCTTTTGCGATTGTGTAACTATGTTCTCGTTAGATGGAAGTATCACTTCTATCATTTCTATTCTCTTATCATTTTGAGCCTTTTCTATTTCTGATGTCAAGATAGATGGATACATCTTCCAGAATTTCGAAAATTAGAAGCCGTGAACGTGAGAGACTCCGTGGGTCCCCTTGGCTAAAGGTGTGTATTAGTCTTGTTGCCTTGTTGATTGTATGGTATGTATAAGCCCATAGTTCAGTTAGCTATATGATTTATTCAAATGTGCACAAAAAAAAAAAACAATTCGTTTGAGTGTGCATAAAGGCAATAATTGTATTCAAATGTGTTGGTAACTGGTGGTAAGCAGGAAGTGGGCAAAATGACCTTTTGGGCCTTTATAGAAGGACTGTAGGAGTTTAGTATTTTAGTTTTTATTGATCATTTGATGTTTCCAACCAGTTTCTATATTATTCTGGTGTTTCTGATAATTGTTTTAACCGCAACAGTACATGGAATGCATACGTTTATTTACAGTACGATTTAGGATGTCTTGGATTCCTTCCAACAACAATTTCATGATTCTACTGTAGCTAGATTCTAAACTGAATAGTTAAGTCCAAATTACATCTCAGGCACTACAAGGGGGTTTGCTCACTTGCGGATACGCCGTCCTTGACTATGCCCAGACTGGTTTGATTGCAGCTGTTTTTTTCTTTAAGGTGAGTATCGTATATGTTCTGCTTGTTTTAATTGCAAAAAACTATGTGGATGGAAGTGATATTGCCATTTGTTTTGTTGCCTGGCTTGTGGTTGTTAGAATTTGATACGAGCCGAGTACTGGCGTCAATTGAATCTGAGTAAGGGTATAGCACACTGAATCAGAAAGATATTGTGTATATCAATGTAGTCTTGGGGTACGTCCGTTTAAGTTTGTTATTGTTTTGTATTTGCCACATGCATTCCATGAAGGAGAAGTTAATACGTTAAATAGTTGAGCATCCTGATTGACGTACTAAATGCATTTCAGGACTTGTTTATATGTTGGAAATTTGTGTTTTCTTCATTCAATTTTAGTGTTAACCAGGGTTCTTATGGTGACCGAGGTGTAGGACTAATATAGGCTGTATATTCAAGCTCTTTTTTGTGCTTGCGTTGCATGATGTCTTTAGCTTGAGGTTGTTTGAAGAATTTTGCACCTCGAGAACTTAACTGCATGCTCCTTCCCTTATTTGGGCTTAAAAATATATTCATCTTATTACCTTTAGTTCGGAATTTGTGATTTCTATCTGTTTAGTTTTCATTCTTTAGATGTTTCATGATAATGTTGTAAAGGAAAAATAGAGGCCCAATTTATCATTTCAGTGTGGTACTTTTGTACTATGGTTGAAAAGTGGGATTGGTGGGTTCCCTGCCACGATGTTCTTGGAAATTTTTTATATGCTTGGATGATAAGTGCAGATGGCAGCATGATAGTCGATGTTTGATGCTGGGCCAATGGCAGTGGAATGAACTATAGGGCTAAATGATTACAATCTTCTATTTACCGCCTAGTCTGTCCATCAGTTCAAATTTAAAGTTGTCCAGTGAAATGTAGAAACCTGTAAAAAATATAAAGTTGGAAATATTATAAACATTAAAAAGAAGAGAAAATGTAGTTTAGGCAAATAGGTTTAGTTTTTGGGATGTCACTGGGCCTTAAGAGTGTCTCTTAGAAGAAAGTTGATGGAATATCACATTAAAAGCAAAGCTTGTAAGAATTGAGATATATTATTTTTCAGAGAAGGTCTTATTGCAGACTTCTTGAAATTAACAAGGATAAAAATATCATTCTTGAACCAGACTTGATTCTAATTAATCCATGACCCATTTCAATATGGAAAGGGCTTTAACATTTCAATGCAAGCACCGGAATTTCTAGAAAATCACTATTTGACTTCAGTTGACAAATCTTAAAAATTGTAAGCAGCTGCTAACTGCATAGGAATCTCTCAAGTTAATATATTCATGTCCTTTTCTTTGTTTTGTTCTTCTATCATATAACCTTTTAGAGGGTGATATCCATCACACAGTCTGCCTTGAAATCTATTTGTCTTTCCTTTTGTATTGTACTAATATGTGATTGTGCAGATGATGGAATGGTGGTACCAGTCAGCGGAAGAGAGAATGTCAGCCCCAACTGTATATCCTCCTCCACCACCACCTCCTCCTCCAAAGGTCAGTTGCTCTCCTCATAAGTCTTGCTATGGACCAGGATCAATGCTGGATGATATCTGAGTTCCAATTCCCCAAGTGCTATTTTATACAAAATCATGCATTAGCAAAGTTTCTTCTGCCATCTATAATTTTCTGTTTGCCCAAAAATCAACGTACTGAGTAGTTTAAGCATCTACCTTCACAGATTTTTTTACAATATTAGAAGTGCAGATGTTTTCTTTATTGACCCGACTTCAGAAGAACTACTCAATACTAAAAAAAAAAACAAGTGGAATACACTATGCTTATGTTTTCGGGTTTCAAAATGAGCCAAATGTTGACCTGTATCTGTTATAGCTTATACATTATACATTATCTGAAAATGTACGTGTGAAGACAATTGAATATAATATCCAGTCATTCTATTGGCAAACTATAATGTTAGCCGACTTTGTTTGCTAAAATCGAGTATAGTATTCGACCTTTTGGTGAAGGAAAGGGTGGTGGTAAGGTTTTTTAACTCTTTTCTAGATCAGTGTAGAAGTGTGAATTTGATTTCCTTGTTTCATATGACCAATGTGATGCTTCATTTTATTACGTTTACTGCCAAACAGGTTGCTAAGGAGGGGATTCCATTACCCCCGGATAGGACACTATGTCCTTTGTGCATGCAGCAACGTGCAAATCCATCAGTAATGGCGGTTTCAGGATTCGTTTTCTGCTATACATGTATATTCAAATATGCCAGTCAGGTCAGAGTCCTTTTTCATTAGGGTGTATTTCAAATGCTTCCCGTTTGGAGTGATTTCAAATCTTTCTGACATGGAATCATTTTCAATCGATTCATTTCAAATCCTTCAATCCAAAAATGAACCCTGAGATAATTCCAACGAAAGGAACGTCTTCCTGTGCATGTGAATTTTGACCATCTTTTAGAAACTTCCTCTGTCGACAGCCGCCTTATTTACATAGGTTTTTTTTTTTTTTCCAATTTTATGTTTTCGTGGGTCAGTTTTGGGTCTGCCTAACCTCCTCAACCGGCGGGTGTCTCGATTATAACAAAAAATACATGCTATGTTTTAGAATGTGTCTCCTCTCCAAGAGTTTTCCCACTCTTGTACATTGAGATTCTTTATTATTTTATTTTTATTGGTACTTTCATGTATGTTTATCCTCTAGCATAATTTTATTTTTCTTTCTTTCTTTCATGGCCACAGTACAAGCGTTGTCCAGTTACATTGATGCCGGCAACAGTCGACCAAATAAGGAGGCTATTTCATGATGTATAAAAGACACCACCCTTTCATTTATTCAGGATGTTTTCCCGGTCAGTTGTTTCCGGCTTTCTATACGATGAAATTCCAGTATTCGTTGCCACTCCTGTAAACTGAAGCATTACAATTTATGCCCGCTGAGTTCGTGTTGAGGCAGTCAGTGCTAACTATGGCCAATGGTATCACTGTATACGAGCTGAAACCGAACGGTTGGTCATTGACATATATGCTGACTTTCACCGGGGAAGATTAAGCAGGTATGCCATTTGTTGAACTCAGATTTACTCTGATCATAAGAATAAGACCCATATGTATGTAGCTTAAGTAAATGTTAGATCGTTTTAACCTCCTCGTTAAATAAAATGTAAGCTGGCCACTTACTTCTGTGGTTACCTATTAATTTATGTTTTTCGATTAATTTATAAAAAAAAATCTCCCGGGAGAAGCCCGTTGCCACAACAGGGTTTAAGGCATATCAAACCCGGTTGTTGAACTTGAAAATGCAGACGGGATATTACAAAATAAAGGCTCAAGCAATTGATCCTCCCAAAAGTGAATGTTTGATCATCTCTCATTATTTAGGCAGGTGTGGCTTGGCTAAGTAGCAAGAGTTATTGTTCATTGATTATCATTTTGTTTCGTCATCTCTAGTATCGAGATAATTATTCGTCTTTGGAGATGCCTTATACAAGGTGCTCTAGTTTTTTTCTCTCTTTAAAAAAGAAAATCATCGAGATTGAATTGAAACACGTGCTTCAAAGATAGTTGTTTGTACACAGACAAAGGATAGAATTGTCGAAATATCCTCTCCGAACGTTTCATAGTCAAATCGGGGTTGATCAATGTGTTGTGTTAGATGGTGGGATAGTCGAGGATAAATAATGAGAACGAGCTTCTATGTGATACTCATCGCACCAATTTAATTAACTTACCAATTTCATTAGGGTTTAATACTCTTTACAACACCCTTTGAACTATGTTTTCGGCATCAAATATCTCTGAAATATCAAAACATTCAAAACCCACTAATGTTACAAAGAAGATTTGAGATCACTTGCGACGTGAGAACTTGGGCCAAATGCGTCGTTGAGACAAATATACAATGCAAAAGCGATCATCGAAATAAATAATCTAGGGGTGAACAAACAGTTATGCGGTATTTGATTGAACTGCTTGATGTCCTTTCAATTCGTAAACTTTGTTCAAAGATAAGCGACAAGAATGAATTAATCGAATTATCTATTTATAATTGAAGTCTAATGTCTGTTTAATTGAATTTTATCATAAAAAAATAATAAACTTAGTTCGTATAAATCGTAAGAATCAAATCGTAAATCATAGATTTAATCAAAATTTTCACATTTAAAATTTGTTTAAAGATTTGAATCGGTTAAGCTCTAGTCTTTTCATTTTACTTTTTTTTTTGCTTTATTATATATTTAAAAAATAATAAGAAAAAAAACTAAAAAAATCTGGTTTTTACCCGGAACCGGAGAAAACCGTTGGGTCTCGACCCAGCCCAAACCGGCTCTTGGCCTGTGGATCATATACAAAGAGAAATTTGTTAGTGGACACATTATGTGTTCCACCTTGGCAATACATCGACAAACATGCATTGTTAATTTTTTTTTTTAAATACAAGTATGCAATTTAATATTACTTGTGCATTGAATGTATCCATAGTTTTATTAATATATGGTGGGGAGCGCTCATAAAGCATTGAATGATTGGTTGTGGCGTCCATCGGTGCACTACAACACAAAACGTTATCCATAGCGTTTGAAAAACACTATCGTAGGCTACTATAGCGTTTTTACAAACGTGATATGCATAATTGGGCCAACCCAATGGGCCTACAAATTACTTACCTACTGAGCCACGAGCCCAATATCGAAAACCACTATCACTGAGGTCCAATCACCTTCAAGTAAGGTTTGGGTCCGATAATCTCAACTAAGCTATAAATAAAGGTTTGAATTCATTCCTATTAACTGAGCAATACTACAATACGTATTCTCTGGACTATTTCTATGATCAGCACGTCTGACTTGAGCGTCGGAGGGGTTTCCGCCGGATCAACCCCCGGCTTAGCTCATGTGTGCTCATTTTGCAGGGACCTCAGGATCATCAAGTTGTCAAGCTACTGATCTGCTTTGCTCTCCCAGCTCATTTTCTACACCACCCTAGGTGAGCTACATATTAGCATCATCAAAACGCTATGTCTGCCGGAGCTATAATAGGTTAGGACATTTCAATAACGCTTTATAAACGCTATCGTAAAATATATTTGCATAGCTTTTTTGTCACGCTATTATTCACTTTCTGCTAGCTAAATCTACATGCCATAATTTCACTAACTACAGCCTTTTATAAACGCTATGTTATTCCATAGCATTGATTGTGAGCTATTGTTGTGTCATTAAATGTATTTCATAAATGCTATGGAATTCAATCATTCATTGTTTTTACCAATATCATTGTTCAATATATTAATGAAAATAGTACATAATCATATTTATGTAAAACATTAAGATAACAATAATCGCCAATAATTTCCATTAATATTTGAATCAAGTTAACATAAGAACTTTAAAAGGCTACAACTATTTCTCAATATTGCATTACAAAAAGAAAATAGTCTAAAAAAATATGTTCTACGATACAAACTGGCACTTATACGTCGAAGAAAACATAAACTTGTAATTTAAAATTATCTGGTATCTTCTTGTCTTCAAGTCAACAAGTACTTTCAATTAAGCTCCAAGTTTCTCTGTAAATGAAAATATAAAAAACAATAGTAAAGAATTGCAAGGTACTGTTTAATTGGACTTTAGCATATCCTAAATAATTGATAAATAATAAATAAAATTGAGGTCTAGAAAATGGTATAAGCATGAGAATTTTTAATATGTTATAAAATTGAATTATTAATGTGACAGTAAATTAATATGATAGATGGCACAACAACATGAATTCAATGAAACAACACAAAACAAACTGGGAAAGTTTTATCACACGCACAAAATGTAATAAGTTATTTAGCATTTTGAAATGTACTAATTAATGTTATGTGGAAAGACTATTTGAACCAATAAAACATCAAGTGACTTGGGAAATGTGTGTCTGTAATCAAGGTAATAAACTTGGAAAAATATGAAGCTCGAGGCGAGAGACTAGCAGGTTTGTCTCCTCAAGCTAACTAGGAAGCGAGGGACATTAAAATTCACTAGAAGTCCGTAAGTAATTTGGGGTCTAAAATATATGGGAGTCATAAAGCCCTTGTTTACCCAACAAGAACATCCACAATTGTAATTGAAGACCTAATCAAGTAACTAGAATTACGGATTTTAGCAAATAAAACAAAATTAGGATAAATTTACCAGAAAAGAGAGAAACAAAGACTCAACACTAGATGGCGTGATTGGAAAAGGGAAAGGAGAAACCGGTTGACGACGGCGGATCGACGACAGAGCATTCACTGTTGGCTTCGTATTACTCGTCTTATTTTAATTCGTAATGGGCTGATGGTTAAAAAAATAAGATTTTATGTTAAGAGACCGCAAAAATAAGGTGATCGCAGGTGGACGCCTAATATATTTATTTATAGCGTTTGTTTTTTAATTCTTAAAAGAAATAAAAAGTTATTATAGCACGAAACGAAAAAACGCTATATTCAATTGCTATTAAAAGTCATTTTTGTTGTAGTGGTGGTTGTGATACACTTTGGGAACAATATCATTCGTAAATGATTATTCAACTTAATGAGATTTTGAATTCATTTGCCTTTTGGACAATGAGCTTGATAAGGATGTACGAAGTTGAAAATCATGTTTGCATGACCTCCCTTGCAAACATGATATAAATCCGAAAGAGAATTCACATGGTGATATGTTTTATGCTGAAGATGTTCATAAATATTGGAGGACAATGGTTTTGGTGGATGACAGTCCAGCAAAGATTGTTGATTCAGTCGCGGATCATAAGGTACATGCTATTGGAAGATCAAAAAGATTGATTGATGAATTGCGTCAATATTGTGAAATTGACAATAAAAGTATCACGGATATAGTTTTGAAAAAATACATACTGACGAGATGGGATTAAATGAGCTATCACTGTCGACCAAGACGTTGACTGTTGAACAACCCCGCACAGAGAGACCTATCATCTTGGGAGTATTCACTCTACCCTCCACTTGAAGATTATGAACAACCTTACTGGGATCTACAGGACGAGGTAATGGAGCCCGTAGAGGCAGTAGAGGTCGGGGAATACCTTCCCAGTCATGTAATAGATATTGTAATTGTGGTCGTTCATCCACCGTGACTGGACCCAAATCGATATGGGTTGTTCGATCTGAATTTTCTCGAAATCTACATTTTGAAATTTGTGTCTGAGGTCATGACGTACGCATCTAGGTGATGGTGATTGTGACTAAAGATCCGTTCCATGTGTAGTTAATGGTGTCCACAAGGATGATTGGTTGGAGATTAGAATGGATGTTTATAACTTTCTTAAAAATAATGAGGAGTTGTTCAAACACTATTATGGTGGTGGGAGCTACATATATGATGCGATGACAAGAGTGGCCTATTGGGTAAATGAACCGGCACCACTTCGTAAATGGATGACTATCAAGGATGTGGGAGTGGTCGTAGCAACGCGTTACAATGGTTTTAATGTTCTCGGCTAGCAGTTCATAAAAACAGACTTATTTGTCAATTTTCTCCGTCGATGGCGTTCAGCTACTGTACGAGATGACCATTTTATTTCTGGAGTGATATACAACTCCAAGTAATCGGTAACTGTCTGCCAAACCTGGCGCCCTCCCGACAATAGTAAGACTGATCAAGGCTATGCACATTAGCAATATTCCATGTTTGATTGTCGGCCTCGTAATATACTTTATATGATACAAGCATGTCCCTCTTAGCACCACAAAATGGAAGATTAGAAGGTGCCGAAATTATCTGACTAAAGTTGAACTTACACAAGACTCTAACGAATATGCAAGGCTCGATCGTATTCATCCATCGGATGGTATTGCGATGGAGTATCTTCTCGACATCACATGCCATATTCGGGCCAAATGGCGTTGAATTTCCGTTTACAAAAAAAAATTTAATAATAAATAAATAAAAAAGCAGTTAATGAGAAAATAAAGTATTAAATTACTTAAATTGTTACTTACATCTGATGATAAAGACATCGTCGATAGTCAAGAACTATCTCGTCATCGTTCCGAACTACATGTGTTACACGCCACTTCATATACTACGGCTCTCCTATAACACGTGCATTGCCTCGGAGGCCGAAAACAAGAAAAATAATTGTATATCTAATGCCGCAATTATGAAAAATAACTTAACAACAGTATAAAACATTGATTGTATTTAAAAAAAACATGTAATAACTAAATAAATGCATACAAAATAATTACCTCTATTAGTGTCA